CTAGGTGGTATTGCTACAACCCCCTCTAGAACACTGTAATTGTACCGCAACGAAGGCAACAATCGCGAGCTCACAGCGTAGGCAGCTGCCGTTATTGCACCAGAGCTTGTGACGCCGAGATGTGCCCCAGAGCAAGGAGCTCGCGCTTGTAGCCTTTCCTGCGGTACATCATAAGGTGAGACAGAGCATAGCTGCGCTGCAGCACGGCCGGGCTGGAAGCGCGCGCTCTCTTTCTCGAAAGCGCGCGCTTCCAGTCCGGCCGTGGCTGCAGTCGAGTCTTGCGTCCGGATTGTCTAGCCCGCCAAGTTTGAATAGCAATACTTGAGCTTGGGCGAGTTGTTGATTAATATTAAAACTTCACAGGCGCAAGGAAACAGATGCACACAAAAATAAATTTCAAACACTCAAAGAAAGAACACTCACAATGCGCTGATTCAGATCTCTGTGGTGTATTACACTTCATCTTCATAATCTGTTTTTGCTTTGTACACATGGAAGTAAAAAAAAGGAAGAAAAGAAAAAGAAAAGGAAGCTCTCAACGCGGTGGTAGTAGGCGACGCGCGAGACAGGGAAGCAAGATCCGACTGCAGCGCCGCTAGTTCTCGTGACCACCACCTGAGCCACTCGCCTCTGCAGGCGAGAATAGGGAGCTGCGAAATTGAGCTTGCCCCAGTAACGTTGAACGCGAGGACGCAGATGATTTTCAGGGCCAATGTGGCCAGACAGGTCGGACGTTTTAAAGCAGGACTCATATATGTGCACCCTTAGACTTAGAAAAAAAAAAAAGTGCCGCAAAAGCGAACACAAATATTATTTAGGTTTTAAATGTGATATTTCACACACAATAATCAAAAACTGCGCGTCAAATCGATTTCGACGAATAAGTGTTTATCACCTGCTCCTTTCAAGCTTTAGCAGGAGTTCAATCGATATCAACTTAAAGTACTCCGTTTATTTATCGTGTGATCAAGAACGCCGTTTACTACAGGTACCTTTAGCTAAGGGACCTAAGCCAAAGGTACCGTTAGGCCGCCGTGTGAATTGGGTATAAGTCCGCAGGCGTGGGACGTTATTACGGGACAAACCGTTACAAAGGAGAAAACCACATGCATCATCATCATCATCATCATCAGCGGAGAAGCACCGGTAGTTATAGATAGGTTCTTCCCGCCGGGTGCTCCGATCACAGATGGCCTGATGGTAGCTCCCGACTCTAAACTCCGCCAGCAACATGACGTGTTGTTTAGTGGGTTGGTTTCATCGGAAGTCCTGGGTATCATGAGTTCGTCCAAAGACGAGTCCGCCGCCCAAGTCCGTTTCTCCTCGTCCCCCCGATTAAAAACAACCATTGGGAACTATCGCTGCCCTCCTTTCCCTCGGTGCTGTCTCCTCATTCGTCCCTCACGCTGCAGGTCTGTCCACCACACCCTCTCCTGGTCATGCAGTTCGCAGCTGCACGCTGCACACGTCACGGGGGGGGGGGGGGGGGGCTGATGGCTCCGAGGCGCCGCAGCACCCCCAGGCGTTCTGTTGCCGCAGAAGTCGCTTTCTTTTCCTCCGAACGCTCGACTTGCCGGTGTCAAACACGCACACACAACACAAACCCACGTCGGCAAAGGGGGTTCTAGCTTCGGCGTAGTTGTCCATGGCTTCCGGTCTCGGGTGTCCCGCCTGGATAAGAGTCGGCCGCGTTTGTTGCCTTTGCCGGTGGCGGGCGCGGCACGTGAAGAAGCAAACAAATCACGTTCCGCCAGGGCCCTCCCTGACAGAGTGTTCGTGGGTACCCAAACCACGGGGAGAACTATCGCCTCCCCCACCTCACGGCGGCGTTGTGAGACGGTCCGTTTGAACTCCCGCCCTGACGGTGTCCCAGAACGCCTGACACCTCCATTCCCACTGTGTTGAATATACGTTTCGTGATGCACCATATATTACAGTAAATCAGTTCAAACGACGTATTCGCGCACCACACACCACATCTCTGCAGTCGGCGTCTTCCCACCGCGAACCCAGACGCACCATGACGTATACCAGGGATGGGCAAAATACATGCAAATATGTATCGAAATACAAATACAAAATACTTCGTCAAAAATGTATTTAATTACAAATTTAATTACACTTCCAAAAAAGCATTTAAGTACAATATACATATACAACCAAATGTATTTGGTCTCCTCCAAATACTTTTCCAAATACATTCCTCAAAATTTGCGTCAGCGACTTCAGGGCACCTGCAACGGTTTTCTGGGTATCTCATTTTGATTTTGCATCGCATACTCGGGAGTTTGTGTGCGAGGTTCTAGTAAAGTAATAGAAATATAATCACAAAAAAATGTTATCAGCTTGGACGTAATAGGTGGCAAGGCTGACCCGGCCTATGAGCCGCAGACAAAACCAAGAAACTTGTAGAAGAAGCAGGGGGGGGGGGGGGGGGCTATGAATGACGTCAACTCGGGGTTCCGCGACCTTGAACAAGAAACGATAGGGAACATCCGTTATCTAAAGGGGACAAGTATCACCGACGAGTGACAAAAGCCGCGAGACTGAACATTTCCACGACCCCAAACCAAAATACATGCACGGTCTGACAGTCCCTGTCCTTGATGCCTTTCCCCCTAGGGTCCGGCAAACTCCCGCGAACAATGAAAGAACAAAGAACAATGAGAGAACATGGAAACATATGAGTGAAAAGCGGTTCGACTCTGTGTAAACGTATGAGTGAAAAGCGGTTCGACTGTACGTATGGGGAAACAAGGCGGCCAAACCGCCAGCTGTCCATTATTCTGAAATCCTTGGGAAACGCGGCAAGGGCGGAAGGGAAGAAGGGGAGAAGGAAGGGGGGGGGGGGGGGAGGTCCCCTTACGAGGGATCCGCGAGCCGCACTTGGACCAGCGAAGAGCCGCATGCGGCTCGCGAGCCGCGGTTTGGCCACCCCTGGTTTAGACCAGCAAAGAACTGAGACGACCAAGACGCGCAGCACTAGCCAGAGAATTTTTTTATTGTTGCAGCTTGCACCAGTTACGAAAATCTGGACGACCCGCGCATTTAGAATGTTCCAGGCAAAAATATGGATGGAAATCAGGCTGGAAAGCATCACAAGTTGTCACAGACACTTATTTAGCCAGTCTGCCTGTGAACGTCGATTTCGTCACTATTCTTGCCCTGGACTAGCACCGTAATCACAAAGTCACTAAAAGCTTGTGCTTGATTGAGAGACACTTCATTCGGTGCAGAACGTAGTTTTCTTCCTGCTCTGGACAGTGACCATATGTTTGAGGGATGTATTTTCGCTCACAAAATTGTATTTAATTACAATTGTATTTTAAATACCCACGTTTTAATATTTAAATACACACGTCAAATACATTACCCAATTTGTAATTAAATAGAAATGCAAAATACACAAAGTATTTGAAATACGTATTTCAAATAATTGTATTTGAAATACTGCCCATCCCTGACTATACCATTGCCCCAACCGCCAACAAGCTATAGTCAGTTACAGGTTAAGAAAAAAGCTGCACATCGATATGTATTCATCCGCCGTCAACTTACCGCCAATCGCGCCCGAGCGTCCTCGTGACGTCACGGCCTCTGCGGACCAATCCTGATTTTTTTCCGGACGAAAGCTTCCAACATGGCAGCCTGGACCTAGCAACAGGACACCAGCATTTTTCAGCGAATATGCTGGTCTTGCCACGGTATTTTACTAACGCGAGGCCATGCCGCGAAGTCTCAACGGTAACGACTTGCGTTCGCAGTAGCTTTTGTGCGACGACGTGATGATCCGGCGATGGTATCGCCATCGGAAAGTTCGAAGCGGACGCAAGGCTTAGCATCGCTGGGCCGCTCGTCTGACGTCGTCTTCTTTTTTTCCTCTCGTTGGAGGTCTGCGTTCCCTGCCTCGAGTCGCCTGTCAATACAGTGCCGGTATCGCCGTTTTTCTTCCCTGTGGACTCCGTGGGGCGAGATGAAAATGCAGAGCTCATCATCCAGTGATAACAACAGTATGTATGAGCGAGATTAGCAGCACGAGTGAACTGCCGGCACCCCCAGCACCGGGTTTCTTTGCTAGGCATTGCCTGCGCCCTCGCTTGCAACGGTGGATAAATAAACGAAGTGTAACTACTGAAACGACGTTGTACGGCGTCATTCACTCAGTTGTGAACCGTGCAACTCCTGCCAAGTTTTCGTCGCTATCAATCAAATGGTAAGTGACGATTGCTATAGCGGCCTCCTTTGCACCTTCGATTGCATGTAGGGAGGATAAAACCAGTGGTATGCACGATACCTACCTTTTCCCGGTGTCGTTTGAACTGACATTCTTTGTGTTAACGCTCATCCGAGAGAGCTATAAAACATTAACAGTACTAAAAGAAACGAGCTATAGAAGTAAACAGACAAAGTGCAAAGCATTGTTAAATAGCGTGAATCTTGGCAAGTGAAAGTTAGCTCTCCCCATTTCTAACACGAGTCGCTGTTCTCGTAATGCTCGGCATTACGAGAATGTAAACCATAAAACTCGGCATGATAGTAGGAGACTGAGGTTGTAGGCAAGCCCTATAAGCTCAGCCTCCCTATTGCACCGCACAATTTGTGAATTGGGGTGATATCCATACAGATATCAATACGGACTCTCCGTTTCCGTTCTAACTGCGCTTACCACAGGCGGTGACCCAGTTGGTCGAGGTGCATGGAGGAACTCCAAGCTCTGAGTTGCACCTTCTAAGCCTTTCGGCCAGCCGATTCGAGGAAGTGGAACAGTGCTGAGAAATTGGAAACTCTATGCTGCTCACTTACGGCCCAGTGGAATATGTAAGGCAGACCTTAAAGACCTCAACAAGCCTTGACCAGTGCAATGAGGTAATGAAGCACAACATCACGTCAACAACATGAGACACGGGAGACGTGTACGACACGCATCCGATTTCACAGCATATGAGTGGTCCTTAAAAGGACCGTTTTGTTTTTAGGGTTGATCCCCCTTGATGTTGACATCACGGGTCGTCGAGGGGCCCCACACTGGACATGTCACTCTCAGAAGAAGTGTCACCTTCATTAAGAGCGATGACGATTGGCTCGATGAGAGCACTTGTGGTTCCTCCTTGTTTGAAGCTTTCTTCCACTTCGACGACATGCCTCACAGCGTTGCACCAGTTACTAGCCGTGACCTGCTCAGCTTCTTCTTTGAGGAGTATCTCAACGTCGCCAATCTTGAACATTGTGTTTCGGGCTGCGGCACGATTCTTGATCTGTGCCCAGATGAGTTCAATTGGGTTGAACTCACAGTGGTAGGGTGGAAGCCTGACCACTGTGCAACCAGCCCTTTCTGCAGCAGTGTCCACACGGTACTTCACGTACTGCGGCTTGACCGACGACACGATCTCAAGGAGCTGCCTCTTCAGCATCTTGGCGTCCCAAGCAATACCTTTCGACGTGAGCCAGCCCTGGATGAGCTCCTTCCGGGAACTGGTCGTCGGCACCGCCTCTAACCGCCGGGAATGGTACGGGGCATTGTCCATTACGATGACACTCCCCGTCGGCAGTTTTTGGAGGACATCGTCGAACCACTTTTCGAACCGAGGGCCGTCCATTTCCTCGTGGTAGTCGCCGGTTTTTTTGCCGCGGAAGACGTCCAGGCACCCAGGGACAAATCCATCTTCGCTGCCGATATGCGTACCGATGAGGCGCTGGCCCTTCCCCGACGGCTGCTTCAGGCCCGTTGTGAGACCTCGCATGAAGGCGTCGTGGGACGAGGTCACAGTGCTGTCCACCCACACCGTCGAGGCAGTGTGCCCGGCCGTCACCCACGTCTCGTCGAGGTAAAAAATCTGGCGGCCCTCTTGCCTGTGACGCGTGATGTCCCGCAAGTACGTCTGCTGCCAAGCGACGATGTCGTCTCGCTCGACCATGAGCGAGTTTCGAGCCCTCCTTTCTCGCCTGAAGCCGATGTCAAGAAGGAGACGACGCACGGTCCACGCCTGCAGCGAGGGGAGTTCTGGGCTTGTGCGGAACTCGGCTGCTATCTTTTCAACCGTGGGCATCTCGTTCCGGCGAAAAAACCGATGCACACACGATCTTAAGGCACACAGCACGAGGTCACCGTACTTGGCAGTACGCCGCTTCTTGCCTGCATTTGTTGGGCGCTTCCGAGAGGGTGACGCGAGTTGCCCATCATTCGCACTTGCCTCCTTCTTGATTGCAAGCACACTGGACACGCTGACACCTGCCAGTTTGCTGACTGCCTTGCAGGCCTCTATCACGTTGAGGTCGGGCTCCGTATGCCGCATCCGAACGTACATGTTCAGAAGGAGCTCTCGTTGGCCGCTGTTCAAGATGTGGCCGCTCTTGTGCTTCTTGAACCAGCGTTTTGGGCGTAGACGGTAGGTCTCTCGACCAAGAAGAATCCGAAGAATCACTTTCCGCAGCTTCCTCGTTGGGATCCATGACGGAAATCATGTGGAACACACAACCGGAGAACGACTTTCCAAATCGCGAATTCGTCGAAACCGGAAACGCAAAAGATTTTCTATTCAACAAATCAACTAAACATACACTATTCATCTATAAAGTATATAAAACTAAGAAAAATAAGGTAATTTGCATTAGTTACGAAATAATAATGTCCTTTCTTTTTTTTTAGTTTTTCAAAAAAGTCTGGTTCTTGACTACCGAAACCGAAACCACTGGAAGACAGAAGTTCAGACAGCTATTTAGACAGGAAGTCAGTTAGAAGGCGGAACATTAGACATGACCCCTGTCCATTAATACTGAACCCGTGCGTGGACAATAACGTATCTCAACTTCTTTAAGTATCGTGAATAAACTAAATTATTTATGTATTGGCCTAGAAGACGTTTCTTTGAGAGGGATAAAACGGCGTTGCTAGGGAGCTATTTTCTTTGACGGCGTAGGCATTTCAAGCGGCGCTTTACGCTTGTGGGCGGAGCTCCAGCTTTTTTCTTAACCTGTAACCGAGTATACTTTTCCCAATTAACTGAACGGGAGGTTGGTGCAATCAAACGCGACAACGCGTCGGCGTTAGAGTGCTAACTTCCTTTCTTGTGTACCACTGATACACTAAATTTCTGCAGTGCCAGTGCCCACCGAGTCAGACGGGCACTCTGTGGCGGGGGTGAGGTCAGGAATTTCAGCGGGTTGTGATCAATGACGACCCGGATGTCTGCCCCAAATAACCACGTCTCCAAACGCTGCAGTGCCCAAATTATCGCGTAGGCCTCTCTTTCGATTGTCGCTCATCAAGCCTGCGCGGGGCTTATCTTTTTGCTCAGGAAAGCGATAAGGTGCTCTCGGGCCATCCGCGCCCAACTGTAAGAGGCATGATCCGACCGCTACTTCCGACGCATCCGTGGCAAGCAAGTACTCCGTACTCGGGTCTGGTGCGTGCAGCAAGGGTGCCTGCAATAGGCACTTCTTGATTTCTCGAAAGGCGTTTTCTCCCTCTTGACTCCAAGGCAATCGTTGCGGTGTGCGTCGGCTAGTCAACTCGGTCAGCGGAAGGATCACGGACGAGTACACAGGGACATAGTCTCGGTAAGAGTTAACTAAGTCGAGAGAGCTACGAAGATCCTTCTTGCCCTCCGGTCTCGGAATCTCTCTCAGTGTTGCGACTCGTTCCGGGTCCGGCGCGAACCTTTTGGACCCGATAACATGTCCAAGATAGTGGACCTCCCGCTGTGCGAGCTTGCATTTAGGCACATTCACGGTCAACCCTGCCTTCGCGATTGCCCGCAAAACTTGCGCCATGTGAGCAACATGTTCCCCCCAAGTACACGGAAACACTGCCACATCGTCGATGTATGCGCATGAGTACGCCTGATGCGGCGCGAGAGTTTGATTCATGACTCGCTGGAACGTAGCCGACGAGTTACGAAGCCCATACGGCATGACCCTCCATGAATACTGCCCTTGATCTGTGACAAAGGCCGTGAAGTTCTGGGCCCCTTCGTCAAGAGGTATCTGCCAATATCCGCGCAACATGTCGATCACGGTAATCTATAGCTGGCGGCCACCACCTGATAAAGTAATTCGCTGGGGCCCTTCCCATGGGGAAGGCGTCGGGCTCAGTGATGGCGTTTAATCGCCGGTAATCCGCACACAGACGCATCCTCCCAAACTTTCTTTGCTACGGTAACTTTCCGCAATTGTACTCGAAGCGAGTCTTCAGACCTTTTAGGAATATTAGAACGTTCGTAGAAACTTCATAATGTCGCCGTCTCTTCTACTTTAGACTCCGGCGCTGCACACGGGCCTAATTAATTTATCTTCGAAGTTATGTCGGCTTCTCCCACCCGTATCCAGGGGATGCCGGGTTCTTCATAACCGTACGGTCGGAAGGAGCTCGTGTGTCTCATCGATAGTTTCGGAGTGTCGCGCTCCTGTACGCCATGCGCCGTTTAGTTGCTGCGCTCGGAGTATGAAACTCGGAGCGTCGGAGTAGGAGTAAAGGAGCGCGGACTTAACGAGCCCAATGTTATTTAGTGTAGCCAATAATGATCTGAACTACAACACCTAAGGACTGCGTATGCAGATACTGTTTGCAAAAACTAGTGTACGCTCTAACAAGAGAAAATCTGGTCTTAAGAGAACTCCGAGCGGTTCTTTGTCTTGTCCATATTTTGTACCTTGAAGAATACTTTTAAGCAACGCCTAAAAGGGTTCTTCGTGAAGAGCATAAGGGGTTTTCAAGCTTATTTTTTTTGTTGAAGAGTTCTTAATGGCTCAATTTCCTTTCTATATAAATAAAACTATATAAACAAAAGAAAACATTATGATGCTGAAAAAACAGCATCATAATGATAAGACTGTGATGGTGCAGGCGATCTGGTGTATATTTACCGTTCTCTTGAACCACCTGAGACTCCTGAGACCACCTGAGACTGGGACGACGCCTTCTATCTTTCTGCTCCTGTCACTTTCACTTCAGGTTCTTCTAGTTCTCCACTCAGTCTCAGCATGGTTCAAGAAGATGGTAGCATTATAATGTTCTTTATTTATATATTCGTCAATTCAATTCAATGTTGATTTGAATAAGTAAAACATATTCTGGAACTGGCTACTTCAAACTCAAGTCAGGTATAGGACGTATGATACACAAACTACAGTTGCTAAATACTTACAGTCGGCCGTAAAAAAAGATTGACACAAAAGAGCGATTGCCCGGTCGCGTGTGTCCGATCGCTTGGACCCCAACGCGGCGAGGGGAAAAAAAGAGAGAGGAGGACACCCTAACAACGAAAGACGCCCCTAGCAACGGCGCTCACGGCGGATTGGCTGGATGGTGTAGATAGACGCTGCGGTTACAACGAGCTTCCGAAGCGGTGTCTGCCCCATACGCAGCGGACTACGGTTCAATCCACAGAGTGGGCTTGCTTTTTCTTTTTTCGAACATTTTATTTTGTTGAGTCATTTGGAGATTTTTACGACATTTCTTTTTTACAATTAACACTGAAGAAAAGGAATGTTTTCAACGAAATTTCACTGAACTAAATGGTATGGGACACCCTTTCCGGAGGTGCTTGGGGAACAGCGGCGCTGGGATTGCCGGCTGGACGCCGCGAAGCGGCGTGTACGGAGTGGGGGAGGGGGAGTGAGTTAATAGTTTTGCAATGAGCAGCCGCAGACTGTCGCCGCGAAGCGGCGTGACCGCAGGCAGGAGGCTGGCTTAAAGGGGCGATGCAACAATTTTTGTACTTTGCACAAATACCGCTTAGAACGGAACCCTGACGTAAATGACCCATGAAACATGCGTTCGATTTTTACCCCACGCAGTAGAAATCCCAGAAAAAAAATGAAACGAAAACGAGCAGCGTTCACCCCAGGGTGTAAGATAGACAGGTGGGGAAACGAGAGCCAAATGAGCGACCGGATTGTGTCCCCCTCGGGTTTCTCTTTTTCTGTGGCGACATCTATGTGGAGCACCGCGAACTCTCACTCCGGGTGGGCGACCGGTGGCGACCGGCTAAACTGACGGAGATGATTTCTCGTGGATTTTCAATGGAGGACTGTCGTGCTCTAGGTTTATTTTGCGCACTCTCCCATAAAGTTCCATGCAAATCCGATTCCAATTTTTTTCCTCTCGCCGCAGCGCCATCTGTCGCAAGCCGGGGGTATCCGCAAGCAGACGAGTACAAAATCCGGTCACGGCGCTGCGGTAGGCTTCTATGGGCCGTTTCCTCACCTGTGTATCTTACACCCTGGTTCACCCCCTCAACTCGCGGCCAGAACAAGCGGCCACGTGATCTGGAGCCGATAATATGCCGCCAATGTAGATCATATAGCCACGCGCTGGGGGTTGGCAAAGCACAAGACACGCGCTGAGTTCCAGACATTGTTATGGCTCGGCTATTGTCGTCGTTGCAGCGATTGGGGACGGGCCACTACCCGAATGCTTCTCGAGCTAGTAATTATCACGAGCCCAAATCGAGTGTGCACGGAAAGCTGGGGTCCAATCTATGAACCGCATTCAAATATTGTCATTGGGGTGTACTGCAATCCCCACGTCACGTCATCAAATTTTGCAAAGGAGAGATTGAATGAAAATTATCGCTTTTGTCCTTGAAATTACACCGCAGCAAAGGAGTGTCTTGGCCAGTGGCGTTGCGTGCGAGTATCCTTGAGTCGCACTAGTGCCTGTAAGCTCGTGTAAAGTGAATAACATTCCAATTGAATATCGTTGCACCGCTCCTTCAACACGCTCCTCTTTTTGTCTCTCATT